CAAACCTATCAACTTATTACTTTACTCAAATTAAAGATTAAAAACTTGTCGCGGGATTTACTAGTGTAAAAAATACATTAATTACGTAACTTGATTTTGCTAAAAGTCTGATCTGAGAAAAAATCAAATAGGTAAATTGTACATTATTTCTTTATTTTTATGTATGATGTACTGTCTTAGGTACGATACAACTACGGATTAAGATCGTTTAGTCGACGCAGCGTTGAAATTGTAAGATAAACGCAGTTTGCGCACTCACTACGCGACGTCAAGCAATAAAAACCTAAAATTCGAACGCCAACTTTTTGCTACAACGCTCTTAACCGATTTCTCCATTTAAATTTCTAATTTTTAGTTTTCACCTCTTCATTCAAAAATAAGTGAAAACGTGGGTAACTGAACACTAATAAGCAAATATTTTATATCATGCGATAACTAATAAAATTATCTATTAGTAGAAGTAGAAACAGACACAATTTTTATACACTTTAAGGGAGTAAGAATGGATTTAATTAGAAAAAACAAGTCTTCTTTCACTTCTTTTTCAGTTTTTTTCCAACATAAGAAAAATCAAGCCGTTAAGGTATGTTTTATTTGCATTGTATTATTAGTATTTGAGCTATTCTATAGCCTGACCAGGAACATAAAAACCCTGGCATAGAGGCGCTTCAATTGCATTTGATAGTGCAACACTGAGTACAGTCGTACCTGTGTTAAATTAATAGGCTAACTTTATGTATCAGGATTCAGGAATAAGGGCTAATTTGATATTTTCATAAAATAACATGGCAGGCTATACAAAACGAATGTAAATTTATTAGTATACGTCTATTAGTTTCAACGTAATTGTTGAACAAACATACCCCTTCCCAGCGATTCCATGCAAATAAAACATACCTTAACAACCTACTTTTTCTTGTGTTGGAAAATAACTGAAAAAGTAGTGAAAAAAATCATATTTTTTTTCTAATTAAATTCATTTTTACTCCCTTAAAATGTATGAAACTTATGTCTGTTTTCTACTTCTACTATTAGATAATTTTATTGGCTATCGCATGATATAACATTTTTGCTAATTAGTGTTAAGCTACCCACGTTTTCATTTGTTTTTGAAGGAAGAGGTGAAAACTAAAAATCAAAAACTTAAATCCTTATAATTTATTATGCTTTCATCGATAAAATTGTCCATAGATTACGCCCTTAAAGTTTGATCACTACATGCCCGGACACACTGTAGAACAGAATGTTGGTGAATCATGAAGTTTGGATCATCGTGACTTTAGCATCTATACTAAAAAAACTGTCTGGCAAGAAGTTGGAACTGACAAAACTGTCTGGCTGATAACGAAACTACTTTTAATTATTGCCCTAATATTTTATATAAAAATCAGCTTTTATGGTATAACGTAAGCCTAACTTTTACGGTGGCTTTTTCTGTATATTCAATAGACTAATTCTACTTATGTTATACCATAAAATCAGATTTTGTGTATAGTATTTGAGCAATGATTAGAAGTTGTTTCCACATTAGCCAAACCATTTTGACAGTTCCAACTCCTGCCAGACAGCTTTTTTTGGGATAGCCGCCAAAGCCACGATGACCCCAAACTTCATGATTCACCAAAATTCTATCCTATATTAGGAGTATACGCTGACAAACTTTCAGCTTTTATAAAATGACGTAGGTCTGGCGTTCACTAGCTCTTACGCCCGTTTCCTATATTCAATCCTTGTCCAAATCCGGATTACAACTGTCAAATTGAATTCAGTTTGAGATTATATTTCCAAAATGTTCGACGCATTTACACTTTAATATTGTTTAAATAGTCTTATAAATATTATAAAAATGTAAAAACATCAAAAACCGCAGATATTTTGGTCAAAAACATATTATCGACGGGTTCATCCAGTGTCTAAGTAGCTCAGTTGGAAGAGCAGTCGCCCGGCAAGCGGAAGGTCGTGGGTTCAATTCCCGCCTTAGGCAGTTCGATTTTTTCAAGTTATTTATAATTTTCAAAACATATTAAAATTTGACAGTTGACAATCCAAATCCGTCCATTTTGGATTAGGATTGAATATAGAAATCCAGCATTAGTCTATTGGTATTGTTGGTCGAAGATTGCTTCAATCCCAATTTGACCTTGCACAAGTGTCAAGCCCCGCCCCAACTGACCTATTAACGATATGAGCAAGCTCCTTCAGCGCTTGCTCCACGCCGTCTGATTGCACACTCAATGAGGGCTATCGTTTTTATACTCAACAGTTGGCACCCCTGGCGATTGACAGGACCTTACTCTACAGTGGCGCCATCTTGATGAATGCAAATGCGATAGTCCTCCTACCACTTTCGCGCTCNAAGGTGAGCCTACCTCGTTGGTGCACCAGTCGAGCGACGCCCGCAGCGAGGCCAGCACGTCTTCCTCGTCGCACGGCCGTATGACTGTTAAGAGGGGTCGGGACAAGGTGAGCCTACCTCGTTGGTGCACCAGTCGAGCGAGGCCCGCAGCAAGGCCAGCACGTCTTCCTCGTCGCACGGCCGTATGACTGTTAAGAGGGGTCGGGACAAGGTGAGCCTACCTCGTTGGTGCACCAGTCGAGCGACGCCCGCAGCGAGGCCAGCACGTCTTCCTCGTCGCACGGCCGTATGACTGTTAAGAGGGGTCGGGACAAGGTGAGCCTACCTCGTTGGTGCACCAGTCGAGCGAGGCCCGCAGCAAGGCCAGCACGTCTTCCTCGTCGCACGGCCGTATGACTGTTAAGAGGGGTCGGGACAAGGTGAGCCTACCTCGTTGGTGCACCAGTCGAGCGACGCCCGCAGCGAGGCCAGCACGTCTTCCTCGTCGCACGGCCGTATGACTGTTAAGAGGGGTCGGGACAAGGTGAGCCTACCTCGTTGGTGCACCAGTCGAGCGAGGCCCGCAGCAAGGCCAGCACGTCTTCCTCGTCGCACGGCCGTATGACTGTTAAGAGGGGTCGGGACAAGGTGAGCCTACCTCGTTGGTGCACCAGTCGAGCGACGCCCGCAGCGAGGCCAGCACGTCTTCCTCGTCGCACGGCCGTATGACTGTTAAGAGGGGTCGGGACAAGGTGAGCCTACCTCGTTGGTGCACCAGTCGAGCGAGGCCCGCAGCAAGGCCAGCACGTCTTCCTCGTCGCACGGCCGTATGACTGTTAAGAGGGGTCGGGACAAGGTGAGCCTACCTCGTTGGTGCACCAGTCGAGCGACGCCCGCAGCGAGGCCAGCACGTCTTCCTCGTCGCACGGCCGTATGACTGTTAAGAGGGGTCGGGACAAGGTGAGCCTACCTCGTTGGTGCACCAGTCGAGCGAGGCCCGCAGCAAGGCCAGCACGTCTTCCTCGTCGCACGGCCGTATGACTGTTAAGAGGGGTCGGGACAAGGTGAGCCTACCTCGTTGGTGCACCAGTCGAGCGACGCCCGCAGCGAGGCCAGCACGTCTTCCTCGTCGCACGGCCGTATGACTGTTAAGAGGGGTCGGGACAAGGTGAGCCTACCTCGTTGGTGCACCAGTCGAGCGAGGCCCGCAGCAAGGCCAGCACGTCTTCCTCGTCGCACGGCCGTATGACTGTTAAGAGGGGTCGGGACAAGGTGAGCCTACCTCGTTGGTGCACCAGTCGAGCGACGCCCGCAGCGAGGCCAGCACGTCTTCCTCGTCGCACGGCCGTATGACTGTTAAGAGGGGTCGGGACAAGGTGAGCCTACCTCGTTGGTGCACCAGTCGAGCGAGGCCCGCAGCAAGGCCAGCACGTCTTCCTCGTCGCACGGCCGTATGACTGTTAAGAGGGGTCGGGACAAGGTGAGCCTACCTCGTTGGTGCACCAGTCGAGCGACGCCCGCAGCGAGGCCAGCACGTCTTCCTCGTCGCACGGCCGTATGACTGTTAAGAGGGGTCGGGACAAGGTGAGCCTACCTCGTTGGTGCACCAGTCGAGCGAGGCCCGCAGCAAGGCCAGCACGTCTTCCTCGTCGCACGGCCGTATGACTGTTAAGAGGGGTCGGGACAAGGTGAGCCTACCTCGTTGGTGCACCAGTCGAGCGACGCCCGCAGCGAGGCCAGCACGTCTTCCTCGTCGCACGGCCGTATGACTGTTAAGAGGGGTCGGGACAAGGTGAGCCTACCTCGTTGGTGCACCAGTCGAGCGAGGCCCGCAGCAAGGCCAGCACGTCTTCCTCGTCGCACGGCCGTATGACTGTTAAGAGGGGTCGGGACAAGGTGAGCCTACCTCGTTGGTGCACCAGTCGAGCGACGCCCGCAGCGAGGCCAGCACATCGTCTTCGTCGGGCGTGGCGTAGATGCTGCCCTTGACTTGTGCCGCACGGCCGTATGACTGTTAAGAGGGGTCGGGACAAGGTGAGCCTACCTCGTTGGTGCACCAGTCGAGCGACGCTCGCAGCGAGGCCAGCACATCGTCTTCGTCGGGCGCGGGCGCTGCCAGCGGCGTGGCGTAGATGCCGCCTTTGGGCTTGTGCCGCACGGCCGGCTTGCTGGGCACGGCCGGCCGCTCGTCGCGCGCGCGCCGCCGCTCCTCCGGCGACGTCTCCGAGCTGTCGTCGCCGCCCTGTCCGTGTTACAATTCGACAATTAACCCGTAAACAAACTCATAAAAACTCACAACTATAAAGTCTGTTCGCCGAGAGTTGATAAATATTATGAAATGTCTTGCAATAGCGACTGTCGCTTAATTATCGCATTCTGTATGGCGGGCGTCGTTTGTCACAACGCGCACTGAGTACCATGGTATGAGCCACGCAGCTGTCGTCAAGCGCCCCGGCCGGCGGGCCGCAATGTGTGAAACGGAATAGATTTATTTTACATAAGACCGAAATGAATGGTATGACAGTGGGTAGGGCTTTGCCCAACATTGGGATACACTATAAGCCACTTGATAATAATGAAATACTTTTTATCCAACACATGGACGCCACGTGTTTGATCCGTATCCCCACGTATGCCCTAACCGGAATAATTCCCGTAAATTTAAAAGAGATAATAAATGATAATCTACCAACTTTTTCATTATGATATCTACAAAAATAATTAGCGGGCCGCAATTTATAATGAGTTTAGAACATCTGATATTTAATTTTTTTTATCAACTCTCGGCGAACAGACTTTAGGTTAATCTTAATTCGACAGTGTTTGAGGTAGACGTATCCGAGCTGTCGTCGCCGCCCTGTCCGTGTTACAACTTGACAATTAAGACGTAAAACAAACGCATAAAAACATAACTATAGGTCTAGTTAATCAGTGTTCGAGGTATTGGAGCGGAATGGGTGGATGTTTTTGAGACGTCAAACGTCAGCGAGACTTTAGATATGCTTTGTATGCTCTGTCACGTAAATGTCAATGTCACCCCTCCCTCACCTAGGATAACAATGAACATCAAATGGTATTTGAAAATGGAATCTTGTAGTGATCGCGCACTCACCTTGGGCTTCATCTTGGGGCTCAGCCTCTCCTCGGTCTCCTTGTTCTCCCACAGCTTCTTGAGGCTGCTGATGCTGCCGGTGCTACGGCGTTTGTCCTCCTCGTCGCCGCCCGCCGCCTCCAGGGAACTTTCAGAGCGCTTCCTCTCCTCCCGCGCCTCCTCCGGGGACGCCTGGTTCTTGGCGGTCCCGTTCGTCCCACTGTCGACCTTCCGCAGCCTCGCCTTGAAATCAATAATCGAGCAAGCCTCCTCGTCCTTATTGACCCTCTTCGTGTCAACTTTCTTCAGCTGCGACTTGAAATCGGTTCCCTTCGACTCGTCTTTCTTGTCGACGTTGTTATAGGGAGTCTTGCGGAGACTCGCCTTCAGGTCGATGGGCGACACGGTGTCCTTGCCGTTGTCTACGGGCCGGACGGGCTTGTCGCGGCGCAGCGCCTCGAGGTTGAGGCTCTCGGACAGTTCGGACACGAGGCGCGTGACGGGGTCCCCGAAGGACGTTTGCATTTCGAGTAGTTCGTGCGGCGGCGGCGAGTCCTTCTGGCGCTGCTTCTTGTCGGCGCGCTCCTTGATTTCGGCGACGAGTTTGAGCTCGAGCATCTCCTTCATGGTCTGGCGGGCGGGTTTCTCGTCTGTGTCGGTGGCGGCGTCGCGGCAGCAGTCGGGCGGCGGCGGCGGCGGCGGCGGCTGCGGGTCTTCCGGCGGCGGCGGCAGGTCCGGCGGCGGCGGCGGGAACTCGAGCTCGGCGAGGCGCGGCCGCGGCTTGGCGGGGCTGTGGAAGGGCTAGTTCAGTGATTCGTCCCACATAACGTTCGGCCCACTGGGACGAAACACTGAATTCAAAAAAATATACAGGGTGTTAGGTTAATGGGTATATGAGCCGACACTAGCCCATGTTAACATGGTCATATAAATGGTATGGTGAAGTCAGTGATATCATCATTTTAATTTTTTTAATTTTCATACAAAATAAATTTTATAAAATCCGATTTGTATGAAAATTAAAATAATTAAAATGAAGATATCAATTTTCTGGCTTCGCCATACCATTTATATGACCATGTTAACATGGGCTAGTGTCGGCTCATATACCCATTTACCTAACACCCTGTATATTTCTCGGTCTGGATTCGTCCCATTTAATTTATTCTTTAACATAATGAAATTTAGTACCATCAGAAAGTCAATGAAATAAAAGAAAACATGAATTTGTTAACAATATCTGTATTTAAAAGCAAATGAACACGTGAATAAACTTGTAGATCAGCAAAAAATTTAAATAAATAAAATGTAAAATCATTGATAATATACAATACATATTATTTGATTCAGTGATTCTTTAAGCTGTGATTTCTTATTAAAAGTAGTTACGATTTTCTATGTTGATTTATGGTTTCCTTTTAAATACAATGTTAATCATGTTTTCATTCCGAACGGGACGAAACCAGAGCGAAAAATGTATACTTTTTTGAATTCAGTGTTTCGTCCCAGTGGGACGAACCTGTTGTGGGACGAATCACTGAGGGAGCGCAGGGCTCTGGCGGTAAGGGGTAACATGTGGGCTCGCAGGTTCTCCCGTTGTGCAGACCAAGTAAAGGTTACACTTTTAAAGTATACCAAAAGATCGCTTGAGGCTGCGCGTCCAATATAATAATATATTCAGGATGCTGTTAAGACTGCCTCGTTTTTGTAGCGCATCAGGGAGTGACTCTTTTATAATGCGAACAGCTAGGGACTGGAATTCGTTGCCTGCTGCTGTCTTTCTCGAAAACTATAATCCGGGCCTCTTCAAGGCGAGAGTGAATAAGCACTTACAGGACAGATATGTACCATCCTAGACTGCATCCCACTTAACATCAGGTGCGATTGTGGTCAAATACCTGCCTTGTTATGCATAAAAAAATATATGGACTTTTAAAATTGTCTGAAATAAAGAATTTTTAGTTTTAATTAATTTAACTGAACTAGCCTGTGGAAGATGCGTAGCGCGCGTGGTGAGGCGGGTGCCGGCGCGGTGACGCCGCCGGACGAGTTGGAGCGGATCATGTGCTGGGCCCGCGGGGACAGCGATCGCGGCCGGCGCCGACTGCCGCAGCGACTCCAGGTAGGCGCCGATTCGCGCGCCCTAATTAATGTAACTGAACTAGCCTGTGGAAGGAGCGTAGCGCGCGTGGTGAGGCGGGCGCGGGCGCGGTCACGCCGCCGGACGAGTTGGAGCGGATCATGTGCTGCGCCCGCGGGGACAGCGACCGCGCGTCGTCGGCGGGCGCGGCCGGCGCCGACTGCCGCAGCGACTCCAGGTAGGCGCCGATTCGCGCGCCCTTGGGCAGCGTGCCGTAGCGGTTGATGGCGCGCTTCACGTTCTGCACCTCTAGGGCGGCCACTTGCACGCCTTGTTGCTGCAAACGGTGGATGGTCAAATCGTTATCCCACACTTCCTTGACTCAGAAAAACCCCAGGCAATAGGCTAGTTTCCTAGAAAAAATTTTTTTAGGCCGTCATGTTTAACATCAAAAAATATTGGACACATTTTTATTTGTCAATCTGACAATTAATTACATAGTTATGGTACGTTGAAGTTCCGCACGACGTCACAACGTGCGGCACTTTTATACACGCATTGACGTCACGGGCCTCTTCTTATGAACTTTGGCGCGCTTTATCTCTTTAAATTTTCATTAGTTTGAAAAAGTGAAAAATACGTGTAGAGTATTTTTTGATAAGTTAATTGACGGACTAATTAAAACTCTTGCTTTTTGACCCAGGAAACATCCCTATTACAAATTCAGAGAAAGTATTTACTTTCCAGCTCTGCCAGATAAATATGTGGACCTCAATATATCTATATCTCACCCCAGGACCACATTCGCGAGCAAAAGTATGGAATCACCTTATATGCTCCGAGCGATCGTAAGAACTAAATGACTAATGGAAGATAAATAAAAATGGTACCATTTTAAAGGTAATATTTGTTAAATTGATAGGTATTATAGATACATACATAGTCATTCAGTCCTTAAGATGGCTTGGAACCAAACACAACGGGGTGATTCCATACTTTTGCTCGTAAGTTTGTTTTAATTTAATGAATTATGTATTTTGTTATTATTTAATTTTAATTTTTTTTTAATTTATTGAATGATTAATTTATAGTTTTTATTTTTTTTTCTTATTTTTTTTTGTATAGCGCTACAAAAGGCACCCACTAAAAATCAGTGTCTTGGCAGTCACACTGTCAAGATATTACTGAGTGGGTGACCTTTTTTGGCAACTTAGTTATTATTATTTTTGTGTATGTCTATGTTGCCTGAATTTGTTGTTGCCAAAATAAAGTTATTTTCTTTCTTTCTTCTAAGTAACCTCTTCACCTGTTGCGCGCCTTCTTGACTGGTAGCCTCAATATGGTCCCGGTCAAGAGGGCGCGCAATCCGTAATCTTCATCGTGTTGGTTCCCGCTGAAAACCAGCTTCTCGACATGGGGCTTGTTATGTCGCGAATATAGCTGAGCGGACGCCTCTTCAGCATAGCTTATTTTATTTTTCTATGCTGAATAAAGAAAGAAAGAAAGAAAGAAAGAAAGAAAGAAAGAAAGAAAGAAACATTTATTGCCATGGACATCACAGAAGACAAAAGATGTAAATAATAGAAAAAAAAGTAAATAAGACATAGGTGACATAAAACATACAATGAAAGTGAAAGTAAAACTGAGCAGTGCCACCCTGTCGCACAGCGATGTCCATCGCAATGGGACCCCACTCAGCATATGCCATGGCCCCCGGTGAGGGAGGCCACGACGCTGGTTTTCAGTGTGCCCCATGCCGATTAAAGTAAAGTATTTAGTGTAAAGTATTCTTATTCTTATTCTAAGTATGTTTTCAATGTCTCATCCTGCTTAAAGTTTTTATACCTTAGGCTGCTCAGCTGGCACGGCGTGGTGCTGGGCCGGCTGGTGGTGGTGGCGCCGCTTGGCACGGTGGCGCGGCTCGCCGGCGGGCCCCGCCGACTCGTCGGTGTCCGGCGTGGCCTCCGCCAGCGAGCCCTCGGACGACGCCTCGCGGGCCCCGCTGCCGCCTGCGCGGGCCACGCCTGGTGGGAACATATTGCCACATGTACACACCGGGCTTCAGCTTTGACAGGGTATTTAACAGGGTAATCTAGCTGTTTCTAATGGGTGGGGAGAAGTCACTAATTTTACAAAAGAAATACTTGGAAAGGATTATTTAAAATAAAATATATTGATTTTACTCATAATATAATTCATCCAGCCTACTGTGTGTTGAAAGTTAATCTCGTTCCTTCTTTATTTTCAAAAAGTATGTATTGAAATGTAAGCATATTGGACCATTAAATAAGATACTTGTTCTGGTCGTACTATTGGCATAAAATACAGGGGATGTATTTCAAACACATACTCGTCTAAATTATAAGGATTCCTCTCGATTACACTTAATGATGCAGATATTGATAATTATTAAAATTGGAAGAAAAATGATACAAAAATTTACATAAGACACTTAAATATAGGTAATCACACCCACACAAAACATACGCAAACATTTTACTTCACCACATACACAAGAACACAAATGGTATTCTAAAATAAATACTTATATTAAACTGATTAACATAAATAAAACTATGGATGTGTAAAATAACAAAATGAATAAGTGATCCGTTATTATAACATATTATATTGATATTTTTATTATTGTTAAGTAGGAATATAGGAATAGTCTAATAAATAAAAAGCAAATGGAAATGGAAGCTGAAATATCATTTAAAACAAAGCAAACTTTTATTATAGCGCTAGAACTTTCACGGGACATTCCGGACTAATCAAAAAGTCTGACTTTGAAAATATTGTAATTTTTCTGTCAGCCAATTACACACGATTGTATCGTGTTAGATTGTTTCATTGTAATTATTTTCTTAGTCAGCTTTCATAAAGATAATGGTCATCAAATGTGACATAGCGACCGTCATCGCAGGTCCCAATCGGAAGTTACTCTTTAATCTCAAAATCGAACTCAGATTATGATGATGTCTTTAATCGACTTTGAACTGACAGGGATCGAATGTATAAAAGATACCTTCAAATACTTTTAATTCATCAAGATGTAGAAGACTAATGAAGAACCTATCAATTCAATTTCGACGATGTCGGATGGTTGGATTAAATATTTAAAGCTGAATATAGAATCACCCAAGCGGCGACTAGAAGTGACAGAGAAGGATGCAAAGCGCAGCCGCACAAATACAGACAGAAAATATAGGCCTATCTTCTGTCTTCTAGGGCCAGAACAGACGGTGAAACGCAACTGCATCGAAACTGCAACTTTCTGATGATTCTTACGAATGAAACTGAAACTGAAGGTTTCAAACTGGTTGCGTCATGTGTGGTCTCTCAACGGACGCTATGGCAGAAACTTAGATGCAACTCAAAAGTAACTAGCAGTTTCAGTTTCGATGCAGTTGCGTTTCACCGTCTGTTCTGGGCCTAAGTCACTCCAGAAGAACCGAACGTTGGTTGTAGACGACGTTATTTGTAAATAACTCAAAAGATCCTTCTCTTTTGAGTTATTTACAAATACCTACCTATATTTTCTGCCAAGATAACAACTATACAAATGAAAATGTAAAATAAATATGTATTTTTATAAGCGTATACATCAGTTCTCTTTCGGACATTTAAAATAAATACTTTTACCAAATACACATAATACCAGAACAGATGTGTACGCCAATATTTTATTTGATGCTAGTTTATGAGGAGTGATGATGACTGTTTAATATTTTTGTTAGTTTATCGCTAATAACCATCAAAGGTTCCACAAAATAAATATATAAGGGTAGCGTCGCGTACCCGACCAGGTCGCATACTTACAAGGCCGATCGACCTGGCGCTACACGCCTGGCGCGCGGGCAGACAAACAGACAGAAAACGCTAGTTTAACTGATGCACATCCAGGACTTACATAATAGAAAATCTCTTATCATCTTACTTATATACACAGAAATATCCAAAAAATAAAATACATAAATCCAATCGTAGTATTGTAATGTAAATGAAATCGAATGCAACTTATGGCACGAAACAAAAGTATGTAGAAGCCAATAGCGTAAGCGAGAGACTTTTGAAAATCATAAAGAAGTAAGTAGTTGCAGCGTTTCCAAGATAAGTGGCGCTCGGTGCGTGTGTGTCAAGTAGCCGTTGTGGTCGGTCATTATCATGGAGCCAACTAGAGTAAAATTTATCTGGAATTCTCACGCTTATTTGCTAGTCTTGCTTTTAACGTTCATGATTATATTATTTTTATTAATGTACATGAACATAACGCCCGCTATATGATCGCTGCAGGTTCATTTACACTCAACCTGTAGCGGAGTCTGCGTTTGGAGTTTGGTTACATATGGTCTCTATTCAAAATCCAATGAGTTGGATGATGATTCAGATGCAGTGAGTATGTAGATACTAGCAGACTAAATACGCGAATATTTACATCATTTGCAATGAGAATGTATTCGCACATTGACGATTTTCTAATTTGAAACAAGGATAAAAGGGAAAACAATTTAAAACAAATGAAACATTCAATATCACAACACGATCATTATCAGAAAATAGAGTAATATAATATCAGTTAGTTCTAGAGATGCATTCCTTTTCATTGTTATAGTAAAATTCAAATAACTTAATAAATAATTAATGCCTGGATAAGACTAAATTGAACTTCAAATTATAAATTAACGGTACTAAATTGTAATAACTTTATAGGTTGAGTAGCCCCAGGGGACAGCTGACTGTCTTAGAATTGGCAATGAGATTCATATCGACTTGACACAGTTTCCCTGCTTTATTTCACAATATGTCATACCCTCGCAAATTGTCTGAATGTTTGAAAAAATTAAATCAGTGTATTATTGGCTCTCTGAGCTGAGTTACGTCACAACGACCAACCGTTTTAAGTCATACTGACCAATCTGAAGCATAATAAATTAGCCAAATTGACCACGAGAGACAGGTAACATTGGCTTCAAGTGACATAATACTAGCTAATAATCTAGCAGACCACGTGACATCACACTGCCGCGAGAGTTAGGTTAAAGCCTGGTCTCTGAGCACGTAGAATTTTGTCCAATGACCCCAAGCTACCCATCCTTATCGCTCGCGCGTAATTATGTTGCTGTTGCGCTCGCACACTCACTGCGGGCACCCGTAGCACAGTCGCGACAGCAATATAATTACGCGCGAGCGCTAAGGATGGGTAGCTTGGGGTCATTGGACAAAATTCTACGTGCTCAGAGACCAGACTATAGAATAGGTTATAATCGCCCTACGTTAGATCGCACAGAAAGATATGTTCGTACTCACCGTTGAGCGAAGCGAGCGACTCCTCCTGCGCGGAGTGCTCGTCGGTCGCGTACTGCGACTCGCGGAACGAGCTGCACGACGAGAGCAGGCTGAGGATTACACGGCAAAATTCAAACACGATTTGGAACTTGAAAAAATGGGGGCCGGCAATACACGGACCGCTTGAAGCAGTCAGGGTCGACAGCTTCAATCTGCGACTGCACAGTGAACTGCAGAGTTCTATGGACGCACATACACGAACCGCTCGAGCAGTTGCAACTGATTCGGGCGGTCGACATCAAGTGAATTTTCATCGTGCGGTCAAGCAGTTACCAGCCATACACTGACTGCTCGAGCTGTCGACAGCTCTCTCGCAGTTACCTCCGCCCACTTTCTTCATTCCACGGCGCGCGCGCTTGTGATTTGTTGAGCAGTTAATACCAACTGCTCGAGCAGTTATCACTGGCAGCTTCAAGCTGTTGACTCTTGACTACAACTACTATCACTCACTAACTGCTCGAGCTGTCCGTGTATGGCGGGCCTTTGTCTTGCCCGGTCGCTACTTTGACACTCATAATACAAGCTGCAGATCAGTGTCGTTTCATCAGCACAAGGTTTTACTTTATCGCCAGGCAAGCGAAAGGTTGTGGTATTTAGCATCAATTTTTTCAAGTTTTAAATCATGTTTAGTATTATAACAAAAATTAAACATGTACCTTTTACAGTACCAAACGAATTGCACAATTTATGTTGTGACTCGTAAGTCCCTGGTGACTACATCAATGTGTAGTATCAGGTGTCTTTCACGGCGAGTAGAAAATGGTTATTTATATGAGCAATAAACACTACAACAGAGCAGAACAAGTTTCCATCGCAATCTGTTCCCAAGTGACGGCTACATTTTCAATCACAAGTCGCAACCCCACGGGCGTAATTACAGGACGTCCGAGCACAGCTGCAAGCAAGTTTGCACTTAATCGCCAGGTAGCGATAGCAGCTATTTGTTAAGTGGCCTTGGAAAGTGTTGGTTCTGTTACTGGTAATTATTCTGATATAGCAGTCCCCAGTTTGGTTGCTGGCATATTTGGATTATCTGGATCACTATTAGCAAACAGTGTATAACGCATCCAGCACATCAACAGATGAATCTAACACGAAAGAAACATCTGCGGTCTGATGTAGGAACGTCTAGAGTTATAAAGACTACAGCTACTTCGTGTATTCTTGACGACCAACTTTTCACATAATATTACAATCATGATTTAGATAATAAATAATATTTTTGGGGGAGACCTTTATGCAGCAGTGGATTGCATTTGGTTGAAAGTAATCTCCAATTTGTAAAACATAGTAGACATACCTCGTCCTCTTGGGCGGGGTGGGCGCTTGTTTGCCGCGGCGGTTGGTGGGGCGGCGCATTTGCACGCCGCGGTCGGCCCCCGAGGAGGTCCCGGCCCCGCGGTCGGCCCCTGAGGAAGTCCCGGCCCCGCGGTCGGCCCCTGAGGAAGTCCCGGCCCCACGGTCGGCCCCTGATGAAGTCCCGGCCCCGCGGTCGGCCCCTGAGGGCCCGGCGCCGCCGAACTTCTTGGAGGACATCTGGGCGTTCCCGCCGGCGGCCCCACCTACTTGCAGCTGCTTCTCCACCTCTGTTGAAACGGTAGACATTTTTATGAGAAACTCTTAAGATTTTATTGCCATCGTCAAATTTAAAATTTAGCATGTTTAACTTGACTGTGTCTTACAGTGCATCTTTATGCACGTTGGAACTTTACACAGTAATCCTTTTGTATAACAGCTGTTCATTAATATTTTTAATTGAAATAATTCAATAGCTAGCGTCAGAAAGCTTCGCGACATCTTCTCGTCCAAATACCTCAGTGTCTCTAGACTTGAGTCTTTGCGACGACCTACGAAACAAAACCGTAGTTTCTCACTATTATATGAAAGCTCAAGAACACCTAATGGGCGATGGAGCTCGGATGGTAGGGATTCGTAGGAGAACCAAAGTAACCATAGCTACCAGAAAAGTGCCCGAGTGGTGCCCACAGGCTGGAAGACACGGTGTTGGCAGTCGCAGCATCGCAGTGAGAAAGAGACATATCAAGGGCTACCAGTTTAAATGACGTAGCACATTTATCAACCCGGAAAGGGATTGTAACCGTATCAACTCGAGAAGGTCAGTCAGTATTCTTGGTATGAGACAAGGATCCAAAGAGATGACGATGGCTTGTGTCACCTGCGGTACCAGTCCTCGTACCGTTTCAAAACCAACCATAAAAGTCCAGTCTTCAAACGTTACACTTCCATACTAATACGAAATAAAATAAACCTAGAAAAAAGCAGCGGAGGTGATAATCTCAAGGGCGAATGTCAAAGGTCAGTAATGGTGCCGCAGAGCAAAGTGTACCGATTTACCGCATTTGCGGCGAAACTCCATCGACGCGTTTGCACGGAAACCGCAACGCGTGGCCCGGAGCACCCGCAAATCGCGGACAAACAGCTCTCGCAAATGGCGCAGTTACGTGTACATAATACCCTTTTGCCTTTAATTAACGCTGTTTAATTAGATGGAAATGCCATATTTGCATCGCAAATACAGGATTCGTAGGGAACTAGACGGATTTAAACGAATGCTACGTTTGCAGACGCGACAAAAGCGAAAAACTTTACCATTGCGGTCAGCGCTTAAGCTTTAATGCTTTAGTCGGAGGATTACAGCCGGTAGTGGATAATGCTTCTGACAAGATTTATCCTTCTCGTTAAAATCCCGGTGACTAAAATGACAAAACAGAGTAAAAATATGTTTTAAGTCAAGAGTCATAAATGCTCAAGTTTGTTAGGGCGGGGGAGGGAAACTACTATTGGCCAGGGCGTTGAAGAAACAGGTGCTACAAATGTCATTCGATGAAAAGAGTTTATCAGGAGCAAGGAAATAGCAAAGGGTCAGGGAACTTTAGTGATGGGGTTTTGCTGTACCTACGCTGAAATGATATTGCTGATGGTGCTGACGACGATGCTTATATGCTTTTTAAACATACATCGGCACCCTGGAGGCTTACCTTCGGTGATGGAGTTGTCCTGGAACATGTGCTCCAACGCGTGGTGGATCTCGTGGAAGGTGGGACGGTCGGAGGGGTTCCACTGCCAGCAGCCGTGCATCAGGTCGTAGACCGCCGGGGGGCACCCGGGGGGGCACTCCATGCGGTAGCCCTGAGGGAGACATTGAAATGAAATTGATTATTCAGTACATGGGCCCTTTCCAGAGCATTTATACACGTCTCAAATATAGCTTGCCCTACCACCACTTCGGGAAAACATATGGGCTGGTGCTGAGAAGAAGTGGCGGAAGAAACTCAGTCACCTTTGTCACACTCACCATCACCTTTGTAAATGGACACGGCTTATAAACGATGCACGCGATAACAGAACCCAGATGTGGCGAATGCAACGTAACCTAAAGGCCCCAGTACAGAGACTTCCCCACATTGAGGGTTGCAACAGCGAAGAAGAAACCATAAACACCCTGGTCGACGCAGCAATCGTCACGGAAGCTGAGATAAACAACGAAGACAGGGGCACAGAAAAGACTACACCATTTCAGCCTCTTGACCCTACAACCATAGAGGAAATCAAATTAATGCTGAGGCGTTTTAAAAACAAGAAGGCACCAGGCCCGGACAAAATCAAAACGGATGCCCTTAAACTAGGAGGCAACCCCTTTCTCATCAAGTACAAAGTAATAGCCGAATACCTATTGATGTCAGGTTATTATCCGAACAGGTGGAAAATCGGAGAGTGCATCTTCCTACATAAAGCAGGCAAGAATCATCAGGACGCCAAATCATACCGACCAATCACCCTACTAAACATCATGGGTAAATTGTATGAGCGCCTTCTTCTGTCACGCCTACGACAGACAACCGACAGACTCCAACCACCATTCCAACACGGTTTTACCAAGCATAGAGGTACAGGCACTCAGATTCTTCGCACAGGCAAGTTCATAACGGATGCGTTGGAAGCAAAAGAGAGCGTGGCCATGGTATCGACAGATCTCTCGAAGGCTTTCGACTCTATTAACCACGAAGGTCTAACGAAGAAGCTTCAAATAGCAGACGTCCCGAATAACATCATAAAAGTAATTGAGAATTACCTCAGCGGTCGAAAAACCTACGGTCGCTTCAGAACCACAAACGGCAAAGAGAAACCGGTACCTCATGGAGTTCCCCAGGGCTCTATACTGGGGCCGGTCATTTTCAACCTATATGTACATGACGTTTGGGACAAACGAGACCACATCCGCGGACTCAAGCTCTCACAATACGCTGACGACCTGTGCATCATCAACAGATCTCCCGACCCAAACAGCGCGACGACACGTGCGGGGTGGGCCGCAGACACCGTCATCAACTTCTACCGCCGCTGGGGGCTAAAGTATAACGTAGACAAAACGGAGTGTGCCATGTTCACTCATAAAAGAAACTACTGCAAAACCATACGAATCAAAGGCGAGGTAATCGAATACAAAAACAGCATAAAATATCTGGGCATACACCTAGACAAGACCATGACCATGGGCAAACAGACGGATTACGTCGTCCAGAAGGCGCGACGAACACGCAGTGCGCTGGCCCCTATAATAGGTTGGCACGCCAAGACGGATCTGACGGTGAAACTTGCCGTCATTCAGGCCTGCCTACTTCCCATACTGGATTACGGCGTGGTACAACTGCTCTCACGTTACAGTAAGAGCAATTTGTTGAAAATTGAACGCCAATATCGATTGGCCCTCAAGACAGCAGGACAGTTCCCAAGACATCTAGAGACCGCAATTCTCTGGAATATGCTAGACTGGGATCCATGGCACCTTCGTGCACAAGATCTGAATGAGGACATGCTGCGCCGACTTGGCGAAATGCACATCGAGGATCTAGAGACCCCTGGAGACGCCTATTTCAGATACGGACAACACAATCCTCTCCTGACTAACACTAGATTAGGTGAAATAAATTATGTACCAAAAAAAGACAGGAGTCGGCTGCTCAGCAAGCGAGCAACTGCTCCTCGTCCCCATAGATTATAGTTAAGGATAGGACAATACGAAACAACATTATAAAATTATATAAATTTATTTTGTAACTACACACTAATAAGCACAAAGCACGCATTACACGACACTTATACAGATCTTTCAGACAAACATAAGTAGACTGTAAGTAGCTGACACACCCATAGGTTGAACACACCACTGGCCTGTGGATCTATAATGTAACATATAAACCAGGGAAATAAACAACTTTCTATTCTATTCACCTTTGTCAGCCTCTTTTTCAATCCAATACAGTAGTTTATAGCTAACATGACACGTAACTCCCACTTGAGGCAGTCAATTTAAGCACTCGTATTACTTTTCCTTCTATTTCAAATGTGTGCTTTTTATACAGGCCAATTTAAATTATAACGAAAACGTTCTGTGGTGGACTTAGGATTTGTAGTTGAACGTCAATCTGTTTAAAAGGACATACTCGTACGTCGTTTTGGCTGTGGTTTTACGTACACCACGTACAATCAATCAACACTGGAAAGTATATTACTTTAGTTCATTGATATAAAAATTACATAGCAGATTATTGGTATCGTCTACTCGGTCGGCCGAAGTCACAGGCCAAAGGCCCGTATGTAGCGCCTAATTAAAAGTCGAATTCGCTAAAATATTTGAGCGGAACAAACGATCGTTTTAATAATCGCGCTCATTAGGTTTCCTTATTTACAAACACAACCCTAATTTTAGTTCGCGAGCGCAAAGTGCTCACAAAGCTATGTGGGAATACGGCGTTGTGAAAACTTTCATAAAAATGCTTTGTGGGCATTTTAAACTTATAAACATTTCAAAATGAGAAGAATATTTGTTTTAAGTCCTTCAAGAACTTTATAAATGGGATATTACAGTAGAAAAGATCGGTGTAAGTATTAGTTTCATCGGCAAAATATAAATTTTACTGTGGTGAAATTTTACTAAAGGCATAGTAGACTAAATAATAAATATAGGAGATAACACCCGATGGTATAGTTATTAAAACGATCACAACGTTACACGTACGAGAATCAAACATAACTGACCCTTGATGGCCTCCTTGCTTCGTAATAAATAGTAATCTAATAAACCAGTAAATTGTACAAAAAAATTCACCACATGTCTTGTTCCCCATGTCTTTGTGTTCGTCTTGTGTGCAGAACTTCATTTAGCCCTAGTATGGCCCGCACTCTTCGACGGCGGACGACAACCGAACCGTTCCATCCAAAGTAGAAAGGTATCGAAGGTAGAAAGTATTAAAATAATTTGTCATAAGATAGGTCAACGCGGCAGCGTACTCAGATCACAACAAAATAATAGCCGCATACTTGTACGACAAATAAACAACGATTGTGTACGAATATCTGGCGACTTAGTGAGCACGTCAATATAAACATTATACTATACACCAATAGCAACTAATACACGCTACGCTACCGACATACATGGTGATTGCAGGACTCATTAATATGTATGAAAAGTTAATTGGAATTCATATTTAAACTACAAATTGAATTGTAAACGTCCGACAAATACGAAATTAATTAGTTTGATTGATTTGGTCTAACTAAATATTATCAAATTAATTTAACAAACTAAGTAACAAAGGATTCCGCTATAATATGAAATGTTGGCTGACTTTCCTCCATAGGAAAGTATTTTTTTTCGTTTCTTTGAACATTAAATAGTAACAGGCTTTAGATTTCAGCATACTTCAATTAGGCAGATGTAAAACCTTTTTTAAAGGTTGTCTGTTATGTTATAGAAACTGTACTACTCTTTCAGTTAAGTTTCCATTCCAATAAAAATATCCTAGTCCATCACAGTCAGAAGGATCGCACAAAAATAGTAGTAACAAGTTTACTAAACAGGTGAGGTGTTTTTCATTGTAATAGCTCAGTTTAGAAAACATTCCTAGAAAATACTGCGCCGTAATAATCTTCTTACGAGCAAAGCTGACTGCTTTGCATTGTCTATTGTGCGGAGTTTATTTAGTTCATGATTCGTACAACTGACGGCTTACGTTATTTTTTGTTTACATTTAGCCCTTTAGAAACCGTTTTTCAGAACGTTCAGATTTGTCTTTGAAGCACTAGGTATCGGTTGTGAGCTGCAGATCCTTCAATACCATTATTATTTTAATGACATTCTTTTGAAGTTCATTTGTTTTTTGTTCATTATAAAAGGATCAAAATAGTGTTTTGTTCAATATTGTTCGATGATTAGTTCATAGACGCGTTCGTGAAAACTATCGGTAAGTACCGTTTTATAACAAAATCAAAGTTTCCTAATAAGCTTTAAAAGAAAAATAAACGTTGAAGGATCCATGTAAGAGTATGTATTGTACTATAACAATACGCGCTTACGTGCACCGTTGCCTAATATGCGTGGGTGCGCGCAGGTGCATTTGCCCTAGCACGTACCCGCGGCTCTGTCTATTCTGTTTGACTGTAACTCTTTAACAGTGTCATGTTTTCAAATAAAACATCTATAACAATCGAGAATCATAAAAAACAAAAATAGAGTCAAGCGATATAAAAATAGGTTTGAAAGTATGCATTTATGAGGCTTTATTTAAGTTTTTTTTTAAATCATGAAGCCAGAGTAATACTCGTACAGAGTAAAATATTAATCAATAGTTATTGCTCCAAATCAGATTATTATGTTCGAATAATAAATAAATATCTGTGGACAATTTCACACATACCACCATAAATACCGCTTTTAAAAATCTTAATGAAAAAGGCACCAAGAGTCGAAAAATAGCGAATTAACAAGAGCAAACGAGTCACTGCAAACAATTTTACAACTGGCAAACATTCGCAAAAACCTTTCTATTCCAGATTAAGCTGTAGCAGCTAGTGTCGAAGTTTAATTTAACTGGTTCACTCCAAGAAAAATACCCCAAGTTTTAAGAACACCCTGTGGTGGGCGCGTCACAGCGCGCTGGGTATAAACGCAGCGGCGCCGCCCTCAGCATCAGTAACCAGCGAGCCAGCAGCGAGCCCACAGCACACCAGCTACCAGCATGATCGGCATCAAGAACTGCATCGTGTACTGCCTATTGCTCTCCGTCACCGTATTCGGTAAGTGAATGTCCTATCTCACATCTAAACTCAACTTTGGAATTCTTAAA